TGCTGAGCCTCCTTCTCTAGTCTGGCAAATCTGTGGTCCAGCATGATTTTAGTTAGCCGGATGTCCACTTACTGTGAGAGTGGCCATGTTTCCCATGGTCCAGTTTGTTTGCAGCTACCAGTCCTGGCTCTCTCAGTTCTACCCCTAACTGTCTTTTGAGATACGGGCAAGCAGTGGAAGTGGTGGTAATGCCGCTAAACATAAGCATGGTTTTTGTGCTTTATCTACTCACTTCCCTGTGCCAATGAAGTAAAATTGTGTAACAACACTAACACTTTGTGGCTATGTCTACACTGGTGTGATCTTGCGCCAGAGATATGCAAATGAGGCTAAGTGTGGAATATTGCTGAGCCTCATTTGCATATCTAATGAGCTGCCATTTTTGCAGAAGAGGCTCTTGCGCCAGAAGGAGCTGTCTACACTGCCTCTTCTTGCGCAAGAAAAACCCTCTTGCACAATGCCGCTACGCTCATTATTTTCAGGAATAATGGCATTGCGCAAGAGGGCTTTTCTTGCGCAAAAGGGGCAGTGTAGACAGCTCCGTCTGGCGCAAGAGCCTCTTCCGCAAAAATGGCGGTTCATTAGATATGCAAATGAGGCTCGGTGATATTCCATGCTTAGTCCCATTTGCATACCTCTGGCGCAAGACTTTGCGCCAGAGGTATGCAAATGGGGCTAAGACGTAGCCTGTGTTATAGAGAGCTGATAAGCTATGGCTAGGCGTAGGCTTATGTAGGGTATATCAGTATAGTCCAACATTATTTAAACCGCATTGCAAGTGCTGTTCTATTTATTCGTCTCAGTGAAATAAAAATAAAGAGACTCATTCATCACAATACTGACCTCCCATGGTTCAGCAAATACTCTGGTTCGGCACCTGCCTGGTCCTGAGGTGCCAGACTAGAGAGGTTCAACCTGTACTGATTTAGCTAAGGGAAAGATGAGAATTAGATTTTGTATAGTTTGATTTCTATCAGTGGGGAATTAATAAAGATATTGGCTGGGTCGCACACTACCTTCCACATCCTAATGACTTAACCAACCAGCCTAACAATGGGTACTTATAGAAGTGCAAATTGTCCACGTTTTAAGAGGCTGATAAGGACAATCTAAATCACTATTTTTTCTTCCCCTTCTCTCCCCCACCTTCCCTTATTTATTCTTGGATCTGGACTTGTAATACTCCAGTCATCTGAAAAAGTGGGTTGTGCCCACAGAAGCTCATGATATCATCTACATGTTCTGTTAGTCTGTAACTGGGAAAACTCAAAAAACAACCAATAGTCTAGCAGCACCTTAAAGACTAACTCGGCTCCCTTTCTGAAGATTTTGTATAGTTATTGGTCATGAAGATATTGGCTTGGAGGGACATTCCTCAAGCTGGAAGGTGATGGGTAGTGTCCGAGCATCCCAAACATCTTCCCATAAGAGGGAAGGCTGACTACTAGAGAGCAAGAGGGGTGGAAGGATCACATTTGTCTCTGTACTAGGGATGATGAAAAGTGTTTTTATTCTGGTAAATTTCTGTGGGGGTGGGGTGGCTCCTGTGAAGCTGCCTTCACCCTGCCGCTGCGTCTGTCCAAAATAGCTGACGAAATTCAGTGTCAGTCAACAAAGTAACGCACGTTGGAAAATATCCTACTCAGGAAAGAAGTCTCGGTGTCATCCTGAATTAGTTCTCTAAAAACATTGGCTCGGTCTGCATTGGCAGCCAAAAGAGCTGCCAGTGTTAGCTACCATGAGGAAAAAGATAAGACAAAGCATCTTGCTTGTCTATGAGAGCACAGTATACCCACATCTTGAATAGTGTGTGCAGATCTGGTTACCCCATCTCAAAAAATCTTTTAGAATTGGGAAAGGCACAGGTAACAAACAGTTCGGGTAGGGAACAACTTTTATATCGGGAGAAATTAAAAAGATGGGGACTTATCAACTTGGACAAGAGACACCTAACCGGGGATAGGATAGATGTCTTTAAACACTTGACTAATGCGGAGAAAGCAAATAAGGAAGTGTTATTCCTTCAAGAACAGCAGACTTAGTCACCCAATGGAATTAATAAGCAGCAGGTTAAAATCAAGAGGAAGTACTTCATACAATGCACAGTCAACCTGTGTAACTCTTTGCCAGGGGATCTTGTGAAGGCCCAGACTATAAGGCTACATCTATATTGTGTTCTCTTGCACAAGAACATATGCAAATGAGGCATGGCAATGAATATCACCACGCCTCATTTGCATACTTAATGAGCCGCCATTTTTGCACAAGGAGTTTTTGCTCAAGAGCTGTTCTGCCGCTTGTTTTCAGGCAAACAGGCTCTTCCGCAATAGGGGGTTTTTGCACAAGAAGGAGCAGTGTAGAGTGCTCCTTCTTGTGCAAAAATGGCAGCTCATTAAGTTGGCAAATGAGGTGCGATGATATTCATCGCCATGCCTCATTTGCATATGTTCTTGAGCAAGAGAGCGCAATCTAGACATAGTGTAATAGTGCTCAAAAAAAGAACTAGATAAGTTCCTGTAGGGTAGGTTCATGAGGCTATTAGCCAGGATAGGTGGGGATACAACACCTGCTCTCTGTGTCCCTAGTTTCTGTTGGCCAGAAGCTGGTACACTTTGAACCTCTGTAGTCCATCACTCTCGGGATCTGACCGGTGCCGAACCAGAGAATTTGCCAGACTATGGCAGGTCAATATTGTCTAGCAGCATTACCAACACTTCTGCTGCTTACTGGGCTCTTAGAAGACATTTAGGGGTAAATTAGAGCTAAATAACAGCTCAGAACACTGAGAGCCAGGACTGGTGGCTGTAAGCAAACTTTATGGGACCATGGGAAACTTGGCCACACCTGTGAAAAGTGGACATCTGGCAAACTCAAATCATGTCAGACCAGAGAGTGTGGGACTGGAGAGGTTCAGCTTGTACCAGATGACAGGGGAGGGATCACTTGCTGATTGCCTGTTCTGTCCACTCCGTCGGAAGCACCTGGAATTGGCTACTGTCGGCAGACAGGATACTGGGCTACATGGACCCTTGGTCTGACCCAGTGTGGCCATTCTTAACTAATATTTCCCAAAGTAGATGGAAAGCAGGTGCTTCTTTCCTATACCGTCACAGTTACTGGATGCTTAGTGTAATGGGCATGAGTGCTTCTGCTGTGTTCCAAAATAAGGTTTTTGGTCATGTTTTCACTAGGGATGTGAAAAAGTGGGAAGTTGTATAACCACCGAAAATCTCAGTGGTTTACACACACCTGTAACACAGGGCAGCCGCTGGCTCCCCCCCTTCCATCCTGTTCCCAGGGAGCCGGCTGCTGCCCCACACTGCTGCCTCTGATACAGAGCCAGCAATGCAGGGTGGCAGCTGGCTCCCCAGAGTGGGGCGGGAACCTGTTAACTGTTAACAGTAATAGATAAACCCAAGTCTGTCTGTTAACTGTTTAAACCAGCGTTTCTTAAACTGTGATCCGTGGCACACCGGTGTGCCGCAGAAAACAACAGAGTTCAAAATGGCCATCCTTAAAGGGGCAGGTGACCTTTTTTCTCAATAACTTCCCCCCAGCCCTTTTTTTCCTCAATAACTTTTCCCCGCCTTCCCCCTCCCCCCCTTTTTTTTCCACCAACAAAAAATCCTTGGTGTCCCTCCAAAAAAAAAAAAATTCTTTGGTGTTCCTCAGTCTTAAAAAGTTTAAGAAACACTGGTTTAAATGATTATACTTTTATGTCCCTAGTGTTCACCATGATTTTGATTCTTCTGACAAGACAGGAACAGACAAAAAGTAGCGGTGTCTTTTTTGTTTTATCTGTGCTGTAAAGCGAAATATTGGAGAAATAGTTGAAGTGCCCCTGGTTTGTCCAAATGTGCAGTCCATCTTTCACAGGCCTTCTCTTGCATAAAGTGTAAAGACTAACGTAGGACTAATGTTGTAAAACCTCCTCTTGATTATAACTCAGGACAGGGCTCCTTAGACAATCAACTTACAGAAGCTGTGTGAGGTCCTGCTAGCCCTACAACATTCTCTTTTATAACATTATTCTTGCTCTTGTGGACAGAGGGGCAAAAATATACATATGTTTAAAGAACAATGTTTTAACTCTGTCTAAAACTTGATTAAGTTACTTAATTGTAGTGGGAGTGTTCTTATGTCTTGTCTGTGTGGCCATATAACAACATATGATTGCCTAGGCCATTTTTAAACAAAGGCTATTTTATAGTGTAGACCAATGTTTCTCCCTCGGGGTACTCGAGAGAAGTCCGGGGGGTACGTCAACACAACTGAAATTTGGAGAAAACTGAATTTTGGTTTTAAGTTTACAGTGCTTTATTATTTATGTACTTTTTACACAAACATTTCATCACCCACTCGGCTATGATTCAATTATTTAAATAAATGTGTTTTAATGGTAGAAAAAAAAATTGTCTGTCTGAAAACTGTAGGTACTGGGGGTACTTAACTTTTTTTTTAAAGGGGATACTTTATATATAAAAAAAAGGTTGAAACACTGGTGTAGACAAGATCTATATATAATTATATTGTGAGCTGATGTTCAGCTGTTCTTTGCTTCATCGCCCTTAGTGTTTTTTAAATCTCCTTTGGGTCTGATGTGTTTAAACTATAAGGATGTGATGGTGTACATGTTTAAATTATTAACTTATGAGCCTGAGCTCATTGGTTAACCTTCATAGTTACATGAAAGCTTCCTCTCCTCCCCCCAGCGTGTTGCTGCATCTGTATCAGAGGCAGCAGCTTGGGGAAGAAGGTGGGAGCTGGTGCTCGCAGGGAGCCAGCTTTTAAGCAGTAGGTTCTGGGGATCCGTGCCTTCCTCCCCCTCATGCTTTTGCCTCTCAGAGGCAGCAGCGCAGAGGGGCACATGGGAGCCGGTATGCACAAGGAGCCGGCTTTTAGTAGTTACACGATTACCCCCCCTCCACTTGCGTTTTAACATCCGTAGTTTAAAGCCTCTCTGATATCACAATTGTTGCATGAATGGCAAATACTGAAAGGGCTCATTGTTACTGTGTTCACAGCCTAAAGAATGCAATGGCATCAAAATTCCAGTTGATACCAGCAAGCCAAATCCCAACGAGGTGGAGTTTGATAACCTGTATTTGGATATGAATGGTATTATTCATCCATGCACCCATCCGGAGGACAAGTAAGCGATTCTTTCCTCACTTCGTATGTAGCTTGTATTCTGTATTATTTGAAACATTAATGGGATGTCTTGTTAAATTATAGACCAGCGCCCAAAAATGAAGATGAAATGATGGTTGCCATTTTTGAGTACATTGACAGACTTTTCAACATCGTCAGGCCAAGACGACTTCTCTACATGGCAATAGATGGAGTAGTAAGTTCGGAAATGTTTATGTTGTTTCCCTGTAATGCCCGACTGCCACGGTTGATGCTCTCTGCTTTCATAAACTTCATTTGGCAGTAGTTCAGCTTTTCATTTAATATGTGTAGTTCAGTTACCACAACCAATATTTGACTAACACTTCAGTTTGGCATATGCCAAAGAAAGCTTTTATTTGTCTAGTGTATTATTTCAGGGTGGAGGGCTGTGGGGGATAACTTCTGGTTTGCTTTCTCGGAGCACAAGTCCTTTGTAAATAAGGGCTACTCTAAAGGTCTCTTCTGGCTTTAAATCCTATGAATCTATGAAATCGGTGGTAGTTTGTGCGGCAAGCTGGCTGTGAAAGATCAGAAAAGCCTACAAATGAACACTTACAATTTAGCAACTAATTGAAATCTTCCACAATATAATTAAGAGTCACCTGCATTTGTTGCTTGACTTGTACACAAAACCCAGGGGAAGAAGAGGGAGCGAATACAGGTGTTTTGGCTGAAGAATAAGCCAAGAAAAAGCATTCTTATAAATATTCAATTTCTGATTGTTACCCAATTACATTAAAATTTGTTTGACAGACTCAGATGTATTTTTCTCTGGATTAAGCCTGAGTGGGTGTCTATTTGAAATATCTTTTTTTTAACTCAAATTGTCAATCTTTATTATCATATGTGTTAGTTTTATAAATGCTTATATATGCACTCAAGTATGTTGCTGTATCCTCAGAATAAAACCTAAATAAAATGTTCTCTGCTATAGATTTTAGGATACTCTGTCCCATGTTATAGTTTATGCTGTTATGCTGCAAAAAATGTCAGAAATAAACCTACTACCTGTCTGTTAAATTGTTAAATAAAGATGTTAAATTTTCATTAATTGACTAATCAAGTAGTCAATAAGGGCACCTCCACCTTTAAAGTGTAGAAACAGCCCCACGGCTGTTGCTACACTTCACAGGCGAAAGTGCTGTGGGAACACGGGGCCAGCGGGGCAGGCCCCCACTGGCCTCATGCATCCCACGGTGCTTCAAAGCAGCAGTGTTGCATGGAGCCCGGGGCTGTTGCTTTCAAACATGGCATGCAGCCCGGGATCAGCTGGGGAGTCCCCAGCTGATCCTGGACTCCATGTGGCACAGCTGCTTCGAAACACCGCAGAGAGCCCGGCATCAGGCTCCTCATGGCATTTCCAAGTAGCAGCACTCTGTGGAGCCTGGGATCAGCTGGGGACTCCCCTACTGCACCCAAGCTCCATGTGGTGCTGCCACTTTGAAACGCCGCAGTGAGCCCAGTGTCAAGCAAGGGTGGGGGAATGACTAGTCGACTACTCAACTAGTTGTTCACATCCCTAGCGTTAAAAGGAAGTTCATGCTCAAAAATGTTTCTCTGTTATATGGAACTTGTAAGATTCATGTATCTTGCCGGGAAAACGTTAATGTTTACACCTGGTGCATGACTGAGACTTCGATGTGACCATTGCTGAGTTTTCTCATGCAGACAGGCACCCGGAAGTGTTGTAAAAGACTTTTCTACTTTCAGTCATGTCTCTTTAATTGCTTTCTACTGTACTAACAGATGCTATGTATCAAAATCACTTTGGCAGTGATGCATGGATTTACTACTTTGATCAATGCAGTATTAAGTAGTGGTTCGGGATGCATGAGTAAAATGAAGAGGTGCATTATAGCAGACTGCTGCTGCTTTCTGCATGGGAACCTATGGTCTGTGAGCCACAACTTTTCCCATTACTGTGAATGAGAAAATAGCGGCAGTAGAAACTTGACATCAGTGTAAGTTTTGTAGCATCGGGCCTATTGCTGCAATCTGTAATGGGGGAGAGATGATTTTTTTGGTTGCTTTTATGAGAAGAATCCCTGAAAAGGGATGAGGAGGTTGAAAGATACATGTTATGGCTTCAGAACAGGGGAGAAGGGTCTTTTTTTGAGGGGAGAGGGAGGGTCTGCTGCTCTCTGTAATTTAATACAGTCTCCCAGTCCAAAAGGAAGCGTGGCCCCCAAAAGCTTAGGAGTGGAGCTCTGAATGTCAAGAGAGAGCTTGGCTAGCTGGTAAGGTCCTGATTAGGAGCTGGTGACCCTTTAAAGGAGATATAGAAGGATGCTGGTTTTACGGATTCCCCTGCGTGCTCCATGCCACGAAATGGATGTTTTAAAGATTTCTAGGGCTTGATACCCTGAAGAAGGCTATAGATACATGCAGTTGAGTAGAAGACCCTTTCCTAAAAGGGTGGTTGAAGTCTGAGTTGTCAGCCTTACTCTTCTTTAATGTTCAGAAACTGGAGATACTTAGGACTTTATTTTGAACGTCCTAATAACTTTATCCTAGACCACCTGGCAAAGCCAGGAGATCATTACTCCTCATTTGGAGTCACTGTGGAGCTGGAAGACCATTGTGACATTTCAGAGCATATTTAGCTTCCACCTGATACTTATTAGCCCGTAATGAAGACCGAGAATCCCCATTTTTTCAGCCCCCTTCTTGAAAATTGCAGGCAACTTGCCCAGAAGTTTGTTCAAGGAAAGGATTCATGGTGACACCAGTGCTGGCTTCCTGTGGTCTTATGGCTTTAGGAACTCATCTATAGGAGGAGGGAACACGTAGAAGAAGGGAGGAGCTGTCTGGAAGATACAAAACTTTTACATGATTTCCTCCACCCTGTTGTGTTGTCTAAATAATTCCCTAAGGCTGTGTTGGGTGTGACCAAGTCACAGAAAACAACTGAGCAGATAAAGAAAAATCTGTCCCCTACAGTGTTGAATAAAATACTATAATACGCACTTTAGGCACCCCGGGCAAAAATGAATCAGCAGAGGTCCAGACGATTCAGAGCATCAAAGGAAGGAATGGAAGGTGCAGAAGAGAAGCAAAGGATAAGAGAAGAAATTCTGGCAAAAGGTACAGATGTTTGCATCGCATCAGATGCTACTAAGTAACTGATGGCTTTAAGTGTTTGGGTGGCACCTTGTTTTGAAATGAACATGGTTTTTAGCTGTAGCAGAGGCTAGATAACACAGCAAAATGTCAGGGCTTGTTTTTTCATGTGTGCAGCACCCCAGGCGTGCGTAGCATAGTAACATATATAAATATGTCCTTGCTCTAGTGAGCTCACAATCTGAAGTACATTATGCAAAAGACAAATGGCCCTTAGTTGCCCCATGTATCTCGGATTGGTCTTAATTTGGGTTAAAGTCGGGCCATAAGAGGAGGAAGCTGGTTGTTGTAGTCGACAGATAAACACAAGTGTTGTGCCGGGAGAGTGGCCGTGCTTTAAATGACAGGCGATGGCGTAAGGCCTGAAGGTGCGAGTGGGGAGGGGAGACGTGGGAGGCAGGGCTGTGGAATGCAGAGCAGCTGGGCATGAGTGATGTGCGATAGATTGTGTAGTGTTTGGAAGGGGACAGTTGCTCCAACTTGAAGGGGAGGTAAAGTGCCAGTGAGGGAACTTGAGGATTGATATGACCTGGTCTGACTGAAAGTAAGACTGGTTTAGCTGAAATACGTTGGCTGAACGTAGGGACGTAGAAGATTAACCGATTACCCACTAAGCATCGCACTTCTTGGATGATGCTTATGGGTAACACGTCAATTGGCAGCCTGGCTGAGCTGGAGCAGCGCCCCCACCCACTGCACGATGCTGATGGAGGGGTGAGGGGCAGGTGCGTGTTCTGCTCCAAGGTTAACCAATTAAACCTAGTGTGTAACCGGTTAACGTTTTAAATAATTAACATCCCTAGCTGAATTGGAGACACAAGTTGGCAATGCTGGGAGAAGCTACAGCAGTCCGAGTGAGACCACGATCGTGTGAACTAGTGTTCTTGTGATGGGCCTGGAAAAGTTGGAGGAGGCTTTAGAGATGTTAGGAGGAGAAGAGACTGGATTTGATGATGGCGTATATGTGAAAAGAGGAAGATGGGAGGAGTCAAAAATGACCCCGGGGTTATGAGGTTGAGTGGCTACATGGATATTAATTAGCCAGCAATGAAAAGGAATAGTGGAGAAAGATATAAGAGGCAAGTTAATTCCTGATGGTAGAATAGCTATAGTTAGAGGAAGTCTCTTTCTGGCATGTTCTGCTACAAGATGCTGGGCAGGGAGATGTGGTCTTTGCAGCTGTCTGTATGAATTATTTTATGTTTTCCAGGGTGGTATAGTAGTGTTGGTCCCAGGATATTAGACAGGCTGGGTGAGATTACTTCCTTTGTTGATTGCCTTCCATTGCTGAAAGAGGCAAATTTTTGAGTTTACACTATTTTTTCCCCTTCACCCACCCACCTTGTCTGAATTCCTTCATCCCTGTCAACAAGTTTAGTTCTTTGTTTGTTCTCTGCTTTAACTGAAGATAGCACAACCATAACAGCAGTTTGCTGTTGGGTGCAGGGAACAAAAAACAGCTTTTATTAGGGCTTATGGTTTTTCTTCACTGTTTCAGATAAACTGTGTTTCCAGATTATCTTGCACCAGTGGCATTCATTCCTTATATTTTATTTTTGATGTGTTGTATTAAACCTCTTTTTGTAGGTGGCTTTCTTCCTCCGGAAGAAGTGAAAGAGAGATTTGACAGCAATTGCATTACACCAGTAAGTAGTCTTGTACTTTAACCAGCTACTGCTAACGCCTAAATGATGGGTTAATTCATTTTCTTCTATCACTTTTTAGGGAACCGAGTTTATGGACAATCTTGCTAAATGCCTTCGCTATTACATTGCTGATCGTTTAAACAATGACCCAGGGTGGAAAAATTTGACAGTAAGTTTCACACTTTCATACTTCAAGAAAATGAGGGTGGATGTATTAGTCTGAACTGTAGTATGATTGAACAGTGTAAATTTAAACAGTGAATTAGCCTTGTCTTCTGTCACTATGGTATTATTGGAGATAGGGTAACTTACACAACAAGGTTTTTCACCTAAGAGAGAAATTTCATACTAATAACATCGTCCAGTAGAGCCATTTGTTTTGATTTTGTATCAAAATGGGGTGTTAAGGAGCACAGTAATAATGTTTGATGTAGGAAGCCAAGGTAAACTGTCTCTCGAAAATGCGACGAGTTAGAAAGCTTTTTCCTTGGGGAGGGGGAGGGAGAGAGACAGCATATGGGTACAGCATGTGTCCCCTGCCCATCCTCCAGCTGCTGAATTTTTAACTTGTATTCTGCTTCATGTAGGTTGCAGACCTGATTTTTTTATCTCAGTTATTGCAAGTGATTGGAGAACAGCACAACATTAGACACCAAAAATGATTCCTATCACTGTCATTATCTTGTCCTTCTGGCTTTCCTGTTTTTCCTATCAAATCTTGCTGACTGATAACATCGCATTTACTCTGAATTGGAAGGGCAGGATATTCAGCCACTTCAGAAACAGCTGGCCATTTCATTTTTCCATAGATGGGTTGTTCAAGTGTGTTCTAATTGGGGGGCTTGGGGAGGGCCGTTCCCTCCATACGCAACAGAGTTTGTGAACCCCACTCTTACATGATCCCCATCACCCTAGTGTCTGGGGTTCCAGAGCTCTAAGGGAGGGTTGTGAGGGTCTCATGCATGTTGATGCTGCCAGTTGTCCAGAGCAACTCTTAAACTTGCTTAGGAAACTTGAGGTACATTAGTAAACAGTCCTAGTAACTTTCAGTACTCGATAATGCAGTTAACATAGCATTTGAATAGAACTAGTAGAAAATCAGTTTGAATAAAGTAATGTGTAAGTAACACATGGCTCTTGAATTTAGTGCAATGAGTGTGCAATTCATATTAAAATGAAGGCAATTTAGATGCAATTATTAAATGGAACTTCAGATAGTCAAGACACTGATTTTTAAATGTTTACTCACTTTTTTTTGTCCTGTGCTGATATTTACATCGCTCTAAACCTTTTACAGGTTATTTTATCTGATGCAAGTGCTCCTGGTGAAGGGGAACACAAAATCATGGATTACATTAGACGACAGAGAGGTAAGTTAACTACAGTGTGTGCATTTGTATTGTTTGTTTGTAACGTGTGTTCAGAAGGCTTCATGAAATTGCATATAATAGCTTGATTTGACCACACTTAATTTTCTTTTGTTTAGCGCAACCAAACCATGACCCAAACACTCATCATTGTTTATGTGGGGCTGATGGTAAGTCCTCCTCCTCCTTTGTTAGCAAATAAAGTTGTGGATTATGCTTTCTTCTGCTGTCAGTTTCCAGATGGTGAAAAAGCCAAATGCTTAGGCTGATGCATGTATTTGAAGTATACAGTGAATTGGTTAATGTAATTTTGGAAGGGCTATTTTACTTTTGGGGACGAGATCCAATATTATCCATAGCTGAAGAACTGTTTATATCTGGAGTATCAAATGACATTGACTTTTATAAGACAGTATTTCAACATGTATTGAATGCACCCACATGCCTTGCTCTCAGTTGTTTACAATGGAATACACTTGGTTCTTTAACTAGTAGACACACATTTATGTCTAGTTTTTATTTCTTTTTTGCTCTGATTGATAGCTGATCTGATCATGCTTGGACTAGCTACCCATGAACCAAACTTCACTATAATTAGAGAAGAGTTTAAACCGAATAAACCCAAACCTTGTGGTCTCTGTAATCAGTTTGGACATGAGGTGAAGGATTGTCAAGGTATACCAAGAGAGAAACAAGGAGAGGTAAGAGTTTTAAGCTTGCAGTTGTTCCTTGCGTCTAAGCTCAATTATAATCAGTTAAGCATTCATAGATGTGTTTTGTATGTTGAAATACAATAGTAGTATTAAAAAAATCAGGTAATTCCATTAATAAGTTTAAAAAAAAAAAGTTTGCACAGTACTGACCCTTTATTGTGGTGCAAATTTGAAATCTACTCACTCCCTTGTTACTAATTAGTTGGGCAAAATTAAAGACAATTGGCATTTTGTCCAAGTGAGAACAGAAGGAAAGAAATAGCATACAGAGTTTAGGAATTGGACTTGTATCTGTATCCTTAATGCTTTTTGGATTAAACCTTTAATACTAACCCAATAAAATGTTAAGATGGGCCAGCATGTGAAGAATATTTTTCCCTGTTCTCTTGTATTGCAGCATGATCAGTTTGCAGATTGTCCTCCTGGCTCGGAACAAGAGTTTATCTTTATCCGATTAAATGTACTGCGAGAGGTATGCAAAAATTTGTTTTCTAAAGCTGCTTTCCGTAAAGTCTGTTTGTAGTAGCATCTGACAAGCTTCCCAATGGCTTTGTTTTTGTTGCAGTATTTGGAAAAAGAACTAACTATGGCCAGCCTGCCTTTTACTTTTGATATTGAGAGAAGCATAGATGACTGGGTCTTCATGTGTTTCTTTGTGGGGAATGACTTTCTTCCTCATTTGCCATCTTTGGAGATCAGGTATATAAAGCCATTCTATATATAGGAATAGATGTATTTTCATTCATTTCTGTAGATCTATCTAATATGTCTGTAAACAGGTGAAATAGAACTTGTTGTTATAGAATAAAACTGAACTCTTTATTCTTTTGTTCCCAGGGAGGGTGCAATTGATCGTCTAGTTGGCATATATAAAAACGTGGTGCACAAAACCGGGGTACGTTTCAACTTTTTGTGTCACTTTATTTTAAAAAAAATCCAGATTCTTGGGAGGCTCACCCCTGACCTGCTACATGCGTTAACTTTCTTACCTTGCAGGGCTACCTCACAGAGAGTGGCTACGTCAACCTACAGCGAGTACAGATGATCATGTTGGCTGTTGGGGAAGTTGAAGATAGCATTTTTAAAAAGAGGAAGGATGATGAGGTAAAGCATTTATGACCCAGATTCTTCTGCATACACGGCTTATATTAGGAGGGTGCAGCAAAATGTCTGGGACCCTCTACAAGAGATTTATGTCCCATGTTTGCTTACTGTATCTGTGAGGGTACGAGAAGGGTGGCCAGGACTCTCAGTGGGGCAGAGGAGAGTGCGCCCAATGTCCAAGGAGGTTGGGGAACAAGGTGTCTGGTACCAGAGTGTGTCCAGCATCTGATGCTCACAGGAGAGGAGGGGAGGGAGGGTCTGACCCCAAATGCCATACTCGTTTTTTAGCAATCAAGGAAGCCTTCTGCTCCCTGCAGCAGGCAACCTGTCTCAGGTGCTGGGACCAGACTCCTGCTCGTGGCTTCCTATGCAAGAGGGGTGCACTGAAGGACTGGCCCTGGGATCAGCAGAGGAGCAGGCGGCTTCACTCCATGAATACTGCCTGTCCTTTTAGTACAGTCCCTCTGCTTCCCTGCTGCAGGCTTTAGGCCATGCTGAAGGGACAGGTCTAATTCTTCTGTGGTGTGGGGGAGGGAGTCAGTACTTCCCTGGGCTCAGTCTGTGAATCCCTGCTCATAGTCGCCCCCACCCCAGCAGAGGAGTGGTACAGTCAGTTGGTAGCAGCTGCAGCTGTGGCAGTAGGGGGAGTGAGATGGGCTTGGAGCCTAGTCCTGGCACCAGAGACTATCCTCACACAACAGAGCCTTCTCTCTGCGTTGGGGCTGTGCCCCTGCCAACAGTGCTGTAGTACCCCGGTTTGGGAACCTCAGTTTTAGGCAGTTTTCATGGAATTTAGAAACCGTTACTTTTTTGGAATGTTCTGTCACGCTGTCCGGAGACGCTCCCAAGCATGAGTGCCGACTTCTGAGCAGAGTGCCAGGGAGCGGAGCACAACCCCCAAACTGGTGTTATGTCATAAAAGTTAGATTTTACTAGCCAATTAGCAAGTGTGAACTCCTAAACAACTGTAACGCGCAGTCACCGACAGCCCCTTGAGTACTCTGATCTGTCTTGCGCCCTAGGTAAGCTTACCATTGATAGCTGTCCCTATACCAAGCATCATGGCAATATTCAGGTTACTCCCAGTCTCAAAGGAGCCCAGGTCACCCGTACCTCAGATTTCATAGAATCATAGAACACTAGAACTGGAAGGGACCTTAAGAGGTCATCGGGTCCAGTCTCCTGCCCTCACGGCAGGACCAAGCAGTCTCTCTAGATCATCCCTGACAGGTGTGTGTATAACCTACTCTTAAAAATCTCCAGTAATGGAGTTTCCACAACTTCCCTGAGAAACTTATTACAGGGTTTAACCACCCTGACAGGTAGGAAATTTTTCCTGATGTCCAACCTAAACCTCCCTTGATACAATTTAAGTCCATTGCTTCTTGTCCTATCCTCAGAGGCCAAGGAGAACAATTTTTCTCCCTCCTCCTTTTGACACCCTTTTAGATGCTTGAAACCCGCTATCATGTCCCCTCTGTCTTCTCTTTTCTAAACTAAACAAGCCCAGTTCTTTCAGTTTCCCCTCATAGCTCGTGTTTTCTAGACCTTTAATCATTTTTGTTGCTCTTCTCTGGAGCTTCTCCAATTTTTCCACATCTTTCTTAAAACGCGGTGACCAGAACTGGACACGGTACTCCAATGGAGGCCTAATCAGTGCAGAGTAAAGCGGAAGAATGACTTGCTCACAACAAGTGTTTTGCTCCCAACACTCCTATTAATGCATCCCAGAATCATGTTTGCTTTTTTTGAAACAGTGTCACACGGTTGACTCATGTTTAACTTGTCCTCCCCTACGACTCCTAAATCTTTCAGCAGTACTCCTTCCTAGACAGTCGCTTCCCATTCTGTATGTGTAAAACAGCCCTTTTAGCCAATCCTATCATTCTAACTAAACAGTCACTAACTAACAAAATAAATGAATTATTGATAAGATTAACACGAGTAAACATGCACAAATGAGCGCTAAGTTTCGAAAGGTAATAGCTGCTATGCCATGTCTTTAGAGCGGGCCCAAACTAAGCAGCTTGAGGATTCCTTGTTTATGCTTAGAAAATTTCCTCTCTCTGAATTCCAAGCACCTTAGTGATAACAGTTCCCTCTTGACTGGATGGTTGTGCCCTTCCCCCAAGCTCAAATTGTGGTGGGATGAGAGATTGGGCACGTATCCGCGCCATGGATATGCGGGAAACAATTGACCAAGCATTTTGTCCATTGATATTCCACAGTGGTTTATCTGGTACAAGCCACCATTTATTGGGGCGGGGGGTGATGACACCTCTTAGAGTACATTTTTAGTATTTCGTACGTGGTAATGTTTCTCCCCTTACTGTGGGGTTGTGTAGTTATAATAAACCATGTTACAGTAGAAGAGAAAACACTTCAATATTACTTGTATAAGATGTTACCCGTGTTAGAAGCATCCTACATGCATTTCATAAAATCTAAACATTTAACGCTTTATCAGTTTTAACAACACTAGCAAAGCGAACCCGGCTGGTTTCCAGTTGTGCATCTGTCAGTGTTTAGTATGCCTTGGGAGCATTTGGCATGGGTTGGCCTTTGATCTGCCAGCAACACTGTTGCCTCTTTTAAGATGTTCATTGTATTGTACAGTGATACAGGGAGTGCTGATAATGAAATCAGGCTAGTCTCTTCACACACAACTCCCTTTCCCACCTCCCCCGTCTCGACTGGATCGTCCCTCCTTGTGAATAATTCTGTGGCCTTCCTTTGTGTCTTCCACTACCCAAGCAACATTTTGTTTAAACTGATGTGATTTTTGTTAGTGAGTAGCACCTTTGAACACAGGCAGCCCTGGTCAGTTTTCACACCACAGGAACATTGGAAAGTCCTGAGCTTCAACCGGCACTGGAGTTATCTAAAAGGAAAAGATTTCACTCCATTGGATATTTTTCAGTTCATATTTAGTTCTTTTTCAAACATAATGGTTTGAAATTTCTTCTTTTTGAAAAATATGCTTTTTTCTTGCCAATGGCCAGTAGGTGAGTGGATTTTTTCAAGCCCTACATAATTAATTCATTGCTTCAGTGTGGGGAATGAGCTTGGCGTAGTACAGAACACAAATGTAAAGATGTCCTTGACTCAGAGCACTTAGTTCTATGTAAAGCTGGCTAGAAGTGACCATGTGTTCACTTTTCTGCTTTGTCAACCATGCTAGTTACACTGAAGGGTCCTTCTGAATTTAATATACCAGTGACTATTTTCGTATGCTGTAAGTGTTCATAGTTCATGCTTTTAGAATAAAAAAAAATTGCATTTGTTCAGTCCCATTGGCTATATGACTTGTTTAAAGCTTCTTTGTTTTTATGGCTTTTCCGTTGTATTTTCTTCCAGCAGATAGATTGGGGGGGCGGGGCGGGGGGGCAAATTTTTTGCTAAATGTGGTGTTGGCCACTTTGCATGTTGTATTGAATTTAGTTAAATTCTAGAGAAATGCAATATGTTCATGTTGTAATCAGTAAAAGGTAAAAGATTTATATGATCTGAAGAGAAAGCAGAGAATACTACAGTGTTCCTTTTTTTCCCCAAAGGAATCCTTCAACTGTTTCATAGAGTCCAGTCCCCTGCCCTCATGGCAGGACTCACTACTGTCTGACCATCCGTGATAGACATTTATTTAACCTACTCTTAAGTATCTCCACAGATGGAGATTCCACAACTTCCCAAGGCAACTTATTCCAGTGTTTAACCACTCTGAAAGCTAGGAAGGTTTTCCTAATGTCCAACCTAAATCTCCTTTGCTGCAGTTTAAGCCCATTGCTTCTTGTTCTATCCTCAGAGACCCAGGAGAACAATTTTTCTCCCTCCTCCTTGTGAAACCCTTTTAGATACCTGAAAACCGCTATCATGTCCCCTCTGTCTTCTCTTTTCCAAACTAAACAAGCCCAAGTTTAAACAAATTAAACTTCTTAAAATGGTCAACAATAACAACTCGCTATATTGCAGCATTTTGCTAGCTTGTGGGGTATTTTGCTAGAAAATAGAAAGCAAAATGTTCCTAAAATAGTTTATTCATAAAAAAAGAGAGTATAAAACCACTCTCTTAGGAGAACAAAGCTGTGTGGAGTATCCAGTGAGAAAAACATTGTTGGCAGGATGTACTGTCTGTCATAGTCACAATCAATAATTCTCTCTATCCTGTGCCAGACTACAGAAGCAAACTTGACACTTGTGGAAGAACAGGATTTGGAGCAAGATCCAGGATCTTAAAATAAAAATCAAGGGCAGGAATTTTTTGAGCCCGTAGGAACTGTGAAACTTGTCTAGGCTGTTAATAGTCGCACCTAGATTTCTGTACTATCTACACCTAAGTGGACAGGTTGTCAAAACTGTTTCAGCATACTCACATGTGGGCTTGAAGGCCTTGTTATTGCAATGGAATTTTCTGAGTATTATGAGCTGTATTGAAAACCCTTTGATTTTGGGAAGTGTTTCCCATAGGCTGCTAGTGTAGCTTAGGACAGCCACCGACCAGTAATCTTAGATGGGATTGGGGCAAAGTTCAGTTCTGCATGCCTCCTAGATCAGTAGCCATGACGCCTATTCAGACTTGCTACTTTATCTTTCTTTGTGTGGTGGTTAATGGAGGGTCTGTGAGACTGGGTTACTTCAATTGTCTTGACTCTTGTTTTAGGAGAACTTCAAAAGGCGACAAAAAGAAAAAAGGAAAAGAATGAAGGTAAGTTTAAGAACTCATGATAACAGGCATTTTTATATTGTGATACACAGGCTTAGCCTCATTTCAGTAAATTAGATAAAATTACAGTGACAAATTGCATAGCTTTTGCCTTACTGTGAACTGTCTGTTTTAAGAAAAACGTTGTTTTTTAAATTGCAGCCTTTAATAGGAAAATCGCATAGGTTTACATTTAAACCTATTTAAAAGAGGGGAGAAAAATTTAAGTTCCTCAGGCATAACAATAAATTGGGGCTTTTGGCATATAGGTACATCTGCATGTGACTACGATATCAGATACTTTACAGTATTAGTTGCTCAGAGGGTTTGTGCCATTGTGTTACAGTAAGTGCCAACAATCAACAGAGAGGACAGAAGATGATCCTCTTTATTGAGTGCCTGCTGAAGTTTAATTTTCTGTTGTCAGTTTACTAAACAGTTAATGCTAAATCAACCATGAACCTTTAAACTGGCAAGTCAATGCTTCACATCAAGGTTTCCTCTGCAAGTTTTACTCAGTCACATTGTGATAAAAATGTATGTGCAGATTTATTCACAGTAATGCAAAATACCACATTCATAAAGGCAAATTGTTGATTGTTGTGACAGCCGTAACATGCATTTGTCAGGACACATCCTTAAAATTGCATTTCATTTACATTTTTTGTACTAAATGTCCTTCCTATGTATTTAGGATAGAGTTTTGGCACGATCATTTGAATTTAGGATTTGTGTACTAAGCATGTTACTAAATATCTCATTTAAATAGGTGTAGCTTCTTTACAATGTGACCTAATGATTCAAGACACTGAACAGGGCCTCAATTCATTGGCATCCTTGGCTTCTAAATTATGTAGCTATCCAGTATTTCTAATGTCAGAAAGCCTCAGCCATTTCCCAGAGCTTGATGTCTCAACTTCCCTGCATATCTAGAATCCCTGTGCCTCTAGGGAGGAGGGTCATAGGATCCTCTTCAGTTTAGTTAACCAAAGATTTTCAGACTTTTATAGAGCCCCTTTTTATTGAGTGTAATGTGCATATCAAATCTAGAGTTTAAAATAAGGATGAGCGGAGTATGGAGATCAGAGTGCAAGAAAGTGGTTTTTTATCTTTCTTGAAATGTAAATCTTTCACTCTAATTCTAGATGGAGTTTCTTCAATTAAAATCATATTTTTTTTCGTCAAGTTTCTGGAACTTAGTATAAAAATATTACTTTTTGAGAGAGCATTTAATAAAACCTCTTGAAAAATAGAAGGGCCTTAAATTGTAAGAGTCATGTTATCCTAGGGTATATTTTACATATATAAGATCTTGTTTAAACATTTGTTCTAAGATGAATTGAATACATAATTGTGATCGAATTTTGCTCATTTTATTCTAGCAACTGATAATCTAGGAACTCAAAAGGAATATCAACTATATGTGCTAGTTTTTATTCTTGTAATATCTAATATGAGACTTGTATCACCATGTGTATATTTGCTTGCTTTTGTAGAGGGATCAGCCGTCTTTTATTCCTGGTGGCCAGTTTTCGCCTCAAGCTTTGGGGAGAGGAAATAGATCTAGTCCTCAGGCGATCAGTAACCCGAGGCAGGCCGCCTATGAAATGAGAATGCAGGACAAACAGAATACGGTGAGTGGATGTTCAGATTTTAGTTGCAAATATAAGAAGGAAAAAAATGAGTACACATGTATTGCAGTTTACTTCCAAACACTTAATCATTGCACTTTCACGTTCTTTAAAAACATTACATTAAATTGTTCTTCATCACTTTGCCAAGACTACTTAAGCTTTGTTCATTTTAATATTTCAAATATCTGTGATTTTAAATATTTCTGGAAACTGTCCTGCAAATCAGAAATAAACATGTTTAAGCAAACTTGAATCCTTAGGTAAGATTATAGAGTTGAGGCTGTTGTGAGCATGGGGTTTAAGAACTTGCCCTGTGAAGAAATAGAGGACAAATAAGATCATCCTATAAGCAACTGAATTGGGGTTAATATTTTTCAAAAATTATTCATTTTGCTAATCTTTCCATTCTTACTATTGCTATGGTGTGTGACCTGTAAAATACCAGCCCAGTAGGTCTTTACAATCTCTAGTTAGCAATATAGCATTGTCGGAATATCTCCTCCGCAGCAATTATTTTTGGTTGTTTTTGAGGTTTATAGAAGGTCACTCTATAGACCACTTGTAAAGCATTGAATCAGATAGCCCTTGAAATTTGTTGCATAGAGACACAGAGTGGTCCAAATTTGGAGCCATTTGACTAAGGGATTCTCGAGTCCCTGGAAAACATTTCTTCTTGAAGTTGGCATGTTCTGGTAACTTCTCCTCTTCCCTCCCCCCCACACACGTAGCAATCACACGAGAGCTCAGATTATACCAGAGTCTCAGATGCTCGAGGCTAACACAGTTCCAGGCTAAGGCTCATGTGCATATTCACAAGCTTGATGGATTCAGTGAGCATGTGCAGACAGGGGTTTACGGGAGCATCATCTGGACAGCTGATGGTGTTAAGCCGTTGTCTTTTTGAACCTGACCCATCTCCCCTGTGTCATTCTGCTTATTCATGGGACAACTTCTAAACCTCTACTTCCCTCTTAGCCATCATAGAATCCGCACACTGGTCTCTCATCCCACCTTGCTGTTGACAATTCCTATAGAAACATCCCCTCCCTGGTACCTTGCTTGAGACAACGGATACAATTTTGTAATAGCTCTTCAAGATACATATGCTTCTCTTTCCTTCACGTGCACCTATGGAATGGGTGCAAACTCTTATCTCCTCATATCCTTACCCCTCAATGACACTCCTCAGCCAAATCTCCTCTTCTCAGTTCACAACATATTTCTGTCCGTCTTCCCCACCTGTTGCTTCCATCTTTTAATACAGCTGCAACTCACATTGAATGTAGCTGCAGTGAATGAAGATAATTCCCAGTGGCTTGCGCCACCTCCAGAGGGGCAGAGTTAAGGTTACATGAGTGTGCAATTTACACACTCTGTATTTCCTGGGGTTTTTGAAGTTTTGAGTTTTGCTGACAACGTTCTGGAAGGGTATGAGTGGTCACGAGGAAACTTTACATCTGCAGTTATGAAGGGTTTTTGTTTGCCATTAAATCATATAAACTGAAGCTTTTAGGTCTCTGTTCTTCTGAGCTGGCAGAGTGACTGTGTGCGTGTGCATGCGTGTGTGTGTGAGAGAGAGAACGAACTAACTCCTCCATGCCTAAGTCTCTTTTTAATCAGAAATCTGATAGTTCAGTTTGTCTAGAACGTCTTTAAAAAGAGTGAGGACTTTGTAAAATAGTAAGGGTTTGATGGAATTGTCCTATTTCACCTTATAATTACAAGAGGAATTAATCATAACCAAAATCTAACTGCAGGAAAGATGCCTATAACCTTGCACTGACTGAAGCTCAAGTCTTATGAAGATACCATCTGTCTCCCAAGACCAGTGGAACACAGTGTTTCTGTAATTTTTCCCATCCGGAAAAATTGCTTTGTCAACAGAACTGGATGTAGTCTAGACACTCTTTGTCGACAAAGCTTCTGTCGACAAAAGCCTGTAGTCTACATATACGCTTACTGCTGTAAAATGTCTGTCTCAGCTGAATATGCTCAGTTCTCTTCCTGTCTCCAACAGATGGAGATAGCATTCAGGCTGGCTGAAAAATAGGTAGTTACTGTCTCTTGGAACAGTTCTGTAGACTGTTCCTTTTTGTGGGATTATTTGGTTTGGAGTGGGATGTTCTCCAGCAGAGAGAGTGTTTTTAGTTTTCTTTTCCCTTGTGCTCGAAGTGGTTATACCTGTGAAGTTGTAGGAAAAAGTGCAGTTTAAATATCAATTGGTGCACTTTTCATCTTATTTTCAGTCTTAGTGCATGTGTAAACAAAGAGAAGTCTCCCAACAGTATTTTTAATGTTGCTTGCCAGTGTTCCATGCCAAATGACCCTTTGCACATACATAAGCTGTTAAGCTCTGTTTCATACAGTGTACCTTAGATGATATCCATACTTACCATGCGGCTAAGTCAGGAAGCTCTCCATTATGTACAGGTATCTTCCTTTTCAGCACTACTGGTAAGAAATATCTACTATATTTGTGCAAATTATTCTCCCCTGCCTAGGGCCTTGGCACTTGGCCAATTTCCAACCAGTTTTTGTAGTAGCTAGCTTTACAGTGTCCCATTTTTAACTTTCTGCATTCTGTTTCAGCTATTGTGCCATTCAGAAATCAGTGTTCTGTAATGCAGAGAATATCTGGTGTTTTCACCAGACAGCTTCAGTTAGTACGAGGGTGTGGGGTGTCTTTCCTTAGGCTAGGTCTTGGTTATTATGAGTTCCACTCAGAATTACAAGGTGAAGTAGAGCAGCTCCATCAAACCCTAATATTTTACAAAGCCCCCACTTGTAGGTGTTCTGGACAAAAATCTACTGCAGCCCCCAATATATATAAAATTAAAGACTGAACTACAATTTATTTATACTTTCTAAAGATTTTTATCTAGTTAAAAATTTCCCATACTTGCCAGCAAATTTTTGGAAAGCAGAGACACTGAAAACTAGAGATGGTTATCTTAAAAACATTTAGCCAAACTTAACTACTTAGCAGTCACTACAGATTGAACCTCTCTGGTCCAGCACCCTCGGGATCTGACTGGTGCTGAACCAGACAATTTGACCCACAGGAGATCAGTATTATCTAGCAGCATTACCAACACTACCACTGCTTCCTGGGCTCTTAAAAGACATTTAGGGGTAAATTAGAGCTAAGTAACAGCACCGAAGGTGAGAGCCAGGACTGGTGGCTGTAAACAAACTTTATGAGATCGTGGAAACTTGACCACACCCACGAAAAGTGGAAATCAAGCTAACTATAAAATCATGTCAGACCATGGATGTTGCCAGACCAGAGCGTGCCAAAGTGGAGAGGTTCAGCCTGTACTATGAAATGTATAATTAGGATTCTCCTTTTGCTTGTACATTTATTGCTTGGATGGATAAAAACATTTCACTAAACAATTCTCCATTTGCTAGTAAGTATTTTATCCAGTAAGTACAGTAAAAGCTTTTCGTTTTAATTTACTTCTCTTTACTCCTGAAATTTTGTAGTTTAAAGAAAAAGGTGGATACAAATTAATTCCAGTGAAATCCTCAATAACTTCTAGCTTTTGTCAGTTTGTCACAGCCTTCAATGTTTAAGTTTTATTTACCTTACATATCTTCTAACAATGATCTAAAACTTTCATCCATGTTAAAAATATTAAGATACTTATTTGAATAGAGGCTAATGACAATTTGCAGGAATAGTCTAAATTTGGCTGTCAGTTCTGAATTCAAAGTCATCTTTATGCAATAGCCTGCCCATGTGACCTGTTTTGATGCCATCATGAACAGAAATCCTAAGACAAGCCTTGTATACAATTGTTTCTTTATTCCTACTGTTGGTTAGACTGGACTATACCAGACCTTTTGTGTTTTGTCTCAGGATCTCATGGCATTTGTTTTTACATTCCAATGTTTGATTCCTATTACAAAACCTGATCGGGATATCCACTGGCATAAAATGTTTTAGGATTGTTTAGTATGTCATTTTTAAAAAAACAAAGTCAAAATAACAAATGAACTTTCTTAATTTTGCATACAAAACCACTCATTTTAATTTGAATACGAAATGCATAATAAACCTCCTTTTTCCTGTGTTTATGTATGATTATATCCCTAGACTCCTTCAGCGTCTCCTAATACTAGTTTCACATCTGATGGCACCCCATCCCCAGCAGGAGGAATTAAGCGAAAAGCGGAAGACAGTGACAGTGAACCTGAGCCAGAGGATAATATCAGGTGAAGCCATTTTTTTTGTAGCACTTTGTTAGCAAATTGCTGAAGTAGATGCAGCCTAATTAATGCCATTTAGCTTAGAGCAGCAGTGCCTTCAGATGCTTTCCTATGATCTTTTTATCCACGAGTAATTAATGTGGAGGGTTAGAATATTCAGTAAATTCCAGTGAGAGGAGTAAGCTATAGCTGTTAAATCTAAGTATCTAGATTAGTATGCATACAGGTTTTTGTCCTCCAAGCTACTACTCCCTTTGAGACCAAGCGCTAAATTGGCTAGACATTCAGTGTTTAGCTTTGATTATGTGAGCTGAATGCCACTGTTTTGCAGCTGAATTTTTGAGCTATTTAACCCATAAAGTTCAGTTATAGGAGGGTGTGTAGCTTGATATCTATTACCAGAATGTCTCTTTAAAATATTTATACTGGCTGTGTATCTTAGCTATGAGCAAGATGTCTTTTGATTCAGTAAATAAGGGATAGGAATAAGATGAAGGTGAGTTTAGCCAACTCACTCATAACTCAAATAATGAAAGGCTAGATAAGTCCACTGTCACTTCATTCCCTGTTTCGAATAGCTTCCCGAGAAATGTATCAGCTGGGATGATTATTTTTATTTATTCCTTGTGGGGAAGAAAAACCTAGGTACAGAGAGTAAGAAAAGTTTGTCTAGCACATAAATATCTTAAACGTGTGAAGTTTGGATGATAAATTCATCACTGCATTTACATTCCATATTTGATTGATGTCCTTTGATCTTATGCCAAATTGTTCTTTCTTTTCTTTCCTATGCATTCACAACAAAGTGTAAATCAGCAAGCAGAAAACCTTGATTTAAATAATTGTGATATTTTTGCATTTATACTTATTAATTTTCCTAATGATAGGTTTACTCTCCTTTGGTGCAAATAAATGTGTTTTAATATTTACATTAACCAAATATAACCATTACACTAAATTGTTTTTTTGCTAACCAGGACACACTGTTTATATATATTTATTTAAGCAATTACATAGTTCAACATACATTTATTCATAATTTTCACATTTTTATTTTAGAAAAGTTTGATCAATTTCTTATCTACTAGATTGTCATTTTACTTGTGATTCGTGCAAGCCACATTTGGACGAAAATAAGACTTCAATTAAAAAGGCAAACACTTTAACATTTGTAGGATTGTTCTAATTAAATAAAACTACTTTAAATATGCTGAATACAGAAACAAAGAAGGTTTACCTAATAATTTAGCATTTAAAACTGATTATTAAATCATTAATGATATGAAGCATTAACTATAGTTAGGGAATAGCCTAGCCTGTAGGCTAGACTTCCAAAGATATTTTGGTGTCTAAAAATAGATGCCTAGGTTTATTAAAATTTCTTAGGCATTTTATATGCTTAATTCTCATTGAAAATTAGGCTCCTTGTGCAGTTTTCAGTAGCTCCTATCTACATGTTTATATGCCTAAATACCTTTGAAAATTGCCCCTCCCCCCCCTTTCCTGCAGGCTTTCAGAATTAGCAGATTTCATCATCTCACCTTTTTTCTCCCCCACAGGCGGCTTGCCTGCTTTATCAGCTGCCACTTGGTTTCTCAACTTTGAACTAGTCTAAATGAAAATACAAACTGCTAGTTAAACTGAAACCAAAAATTAATGAAGGCAAAAATTTTGCTGCACAATAAACGGGGAGTATTTACATTTGGAAATCATAGCATCACTTGCTCCATTGTAAAGACTGAAAATAGTAGGGAACAGTGGTTCTCAAACTATTTACCATTGTGGGCCGCATGTGGAGCTCTGTGTTATGTGGGCCACATCCACACAATATAAATGCTACCTGTATGACTGTCTGAGCACCAGAGAATAAGGACTAACCTGCTTCTCTAGAAGTTGCTCCTTAACCTTCAGGTTTGGTTTCCCCTATCATAACTTTCATCTCAGCTCCTGGCCGGTGTGTTCATGCTTCTGGCTTTTGGGTCTCGCTTCCCTGCCCACCTTCTCCAAGCCCAGGTGTAAATTAGTGGGAGATGTGGTAAAAACAAAATGGTAATTTAGGCTGTAAGTGACTTTCAGTTGGTAATCGCTCTTGAGAGGAGATGGTCTTAATACCATTTCCCTCAAGTGAAGATAGTTTTGCCTTATCGCTTGTTTTGCAACGAAAGCTATTTAAATCTGTAAAATGAAAATTGAAATCTAATTGTGCTTCTTGTGTAGGTTATGGGAATCTGGTTGGAAACAGCGGTACTATAAGAACAAATTTGATGTTGATGTGACTGATGAGAAATTCCGCCATAAAGTTGTACGATCTTATGTTGAAGGCCTTTGCTGGGTTCTCAGATACTATTATCAGGTACTTCAATACATTTTTATTCTGAGAAACCTTTCTTTCATGTGTGCAGTCCATCTGTCTTTCAGTGGATAGTGGTTGTACTCTGTCATGGAACCATTGGATTGCCCAGCTTTGCAATAGTAGCTTGAGGAACCTCTTCATTGAGCCAGACTGTCCAGGGGTCTCTCTTCTCCTTCAGGGTAGGCCTCACCATCTCCTGAAAATCAATCTGTGGGCTTCAGCCCTTGTCCTTCACACTGCTCTTTGTTCAGTGAGTCCAGCTGATTGGAATGGTAGGTAGAGACTTGTATTCCCTTCAGGGATTGATGCACCTCTTGCCTAATATTTACAGTGACACAGCTTTTCAAAAAGGCAGGATTTATTAGTTGGACACAGCATAGGAAATCCTTAGGTTAGCACAAAGAATTGATGGTTAAAGCACGGTCCATTCTGGTTAACTCAGAGCCTCAGCCAAGCTGAAATGAAGCTCTGTTTTCAGGCGCGGTTGGATGACACAAAGGGGGGATGTGATAGAGGTCTATAAAATCATGACTGGTGTGGAGAAAGTGAATAAGGAAAAGTGATTTACTTATTCCCACAATATAAGAACCAGGGGTCACCAAATGAGATGAATAAGCAGCAGGTTTTTAAAAAAAAAAAAAGAGAGGACATTTTTCTTCACTCAGCGCACAGTCAACCTGTGGAACTCTTTGCCAGAGGATGTGGAGAAGGCTAGGACTTAACAGGGTTCAAAAAAGTACTAGATAGATTTATGGAGATTAGGTCTATCAATGGCTATTAGCCAGGATGTGTAGGAATGGTGTCCCTAGCCTCTGTTTGTCTGGAGGTGGGTGAGAGGGGAGGGATCACATGATCCCTCCTTCTGCGGCATCTGGTATTGGCCACTGTTGGCAGACAGTATATTGAGCTGGATGGACCGTTGTTCTGACCCTGTATGGCCATTCTTATGTTCTTAGTCTGTTCCTAGATGTAAGAATCTCCAGGCTTCCTCTGGAAACTGGTTCTTGTCCATCACACTTTCCAATCGCAGGGGGGTCAGGGGTCTTTGCCCTGCTGAGAGGTAAAGAAATTCATCTCCCCCAGGTCCTTTGGTATGTCAGGCTACATCTGCAGAGCTGAGCTATTTTGGGATACCTCCAGGATCCCGAAATAGCCATTCCGTGTCTTAGGAGCAAACCTGTTATATCGAAATATACCGGGCTCGTTATTCCGGTGTCCCTGTAAAACTCAACTTCGCTAGGTTTAAGGGACGTTTTGGAATAGTGCCTTATTTTGAAGAGTGGTGCTGCATAGAAATTAGCTATTTCGAGATGAGAGCTGTGTAGACGTACCCTCAGTGTCCTAGTGATTGGGTTTTCCTCTCACTGTCTTCTCAGCTTTTCTGTTGATACGGGGTTTGCCTCTGCCAGTCCTTTTTAATGACCCAGCCAGGCAATACCCACCTTCCCCTCAGTGTCTGCTTAGCCTGTGCTAAGGGCAAACTTAATCTTTTTTCCTGCCTGGCAAGCCAGGCAAAATACAGAGAGAACTGAGGCACATTTAAGATTCATAAAATATTATAGAAAATGTCCACTTGATCACAACATCAATAAGTCATTTTAATATTTTCTTATAGCTGTCGAAAGGCAGAGGATTATTTCTAAGGGTGTAAAGCATTTGAGTAAATCCTCAATTTGTGTCCAGCACTGTAAATATTCAAAGGGTATTTCACTGTTGTAAGAATATTGATGGTGATTTTATTAAACTATATATCAAGCTTTTCCTTTGAATTGAAGAATATAGTAATGCAAGGGCTGGTAAAACAAATTGTTCCATCCTTTGATCATTTGCAAAGGGGAAAGAATGCAGAACGCTCCTAAGAATTTGCAAGATACAGAATTGTCGGTCTTCTGTGTGGATTGTAGTGATGTTACATGAAGTGCATTATAATTAAAGTAATCTATATCTGATTTAAATCTTTTGATAATTGAGATGTCAGATTGGCAAGAGATTAGACATATTGGGGATTGTAGCAATGATAGTTAATAACTAGTTTCGTGCTCTGAGAACAAAACAAGCTGAAGGTTGCATGAGCTGGGAATAGATTGTACTAATAATATCGAGTAGCAAAAAATACTGTGGAAGAGTGACTTTTGTTTACAGGGATGTGTTCAGTATTTAATTTTTGTTAGTGCTTTATCGGCATGAAAACATGATATCTAAGTGTGTTATATTCTCATTATTTAGATCAGTCTGCTAGGTCGCTGATTTTTCACTTGTATTTTAAAATGAAATACTCCAGTTAGAGGTGGAGGATAGGGTGATGGGTTTGTTAGGACTGTTCAGAACACTTCAACCAAGCACTTTTTCCCCCAACTGGAAGACTATCACTGACAATGTTGAAATGCCAAGGTGAGGGGCAGCCTACTTTTTTGTTCCCCTGGCTTACAAAGCTGTATACGGGCCATCTTGAGAGCGCCAAGGAAAGGCTGGCAAATGCCCTTTCAGTAGGCTGAAAGGATGCTGGCAGTGGATCTCAGAACAATTTTGAGAGTCACAATATCCCAATGTCAAATGCCCTTTCAGTAGGCTGAAAGGGTGCTGGCAGTGGATCTCAGTGAGAACAATTTTGAGAGTCACAATATCCCAATGGTCTGTCGCTGCCTAGAGTGATCGGCATAATGTCTGTGAAGAAAAGGGGTAAAAGCTCCCGCCGGGAGGGAAAGCAGCGGTGGCGTTTGAACAGTGAGGCACAAGGGGTATCAGAAGAGCTCAACTCGGAGCTATGTGGCTCATGGAGGCTTTGAAAGAACATGTTCAGAGCAGGCCACAGTCCTGCGCGATGGTCTGTTGTGCTCCGCCTGGCCTTGCAGTTTGGAGGCCTGTGAGTTGTGTGGTGCTTAGGGTACATCTAAGATGATTATGCTGCTTATTGCCGATCCTGTGATTTCTCACGGTCTGCCCATCACTGTGTTGCAACCAAGAATAGTGAGTGGGCCGTATGAGTGGCCCTCCTTTCTTGCAGGTGGAACCACTGGGGTTCTACCTGCGGATCCCATCTGCCCCCTCCCACATGTACCTCTCTTGCACCGAGGCCTTACACTTCCTACTTCTATTAGTTTAAAACTAATAAAAGAAAGTTCTTCTTCACACAGCATGTAGTCAACCTGTGGAACTCCTTGCCAGAGGAGGCTGTGAAGGCTAGGACTATAATAGAGTTTAAAGAGAAGCTAGATAATTTCATGGAGGTTAGGTCCATAAAAGGCTGTTAGCCAGGGGATAAAATGGTGTCCTTGGCCTCTGTTTGTCAGAGGCTGGAGAGGGATGGCAGGAGACAAATCGCTTGATCATTGTCTTTGGTCCACCCTCTCTGGGGCACCTGGTGCTGGCCACTGTAGGCAGACAGGATACTGGGCTAGATGGACCTTTGGTCTGACCCAGTACGGCCGTTTTTATGTTGTCCCACTCCTTCCCAGCACTTTTGGAGCACCACAAATTGCTTAATTCGCGCTCCATCCCCACTTCTCCCGCTCCCTCTGAGAGCTTAACTAGCCTTGAACAGTTGACTAGTCACTCTCCCCCCCACTGCCTCTATCAGATAGAGGCAATAAGGAGAGGGGGGAAAGAGAGGCGTACTTCAAAGCGGCAGCGCCACACAGAGCCCAGGATCAGTTGTGCAGTGTTGCCTCTTTGAAACGTCGCTGCCGCATTTCAAAGGGGCAGCATGGCATGGAGCCTGGGCTCCGTGAGGCGCTGCCACTTTGAAACTCCACCACAGCATTTGAAAGAGCCAGCACCGCATGGCGCCTGGGATCAGCTGTGCAGCGCTGCCCGTTTGAAACCCCATAGCAGCATTTCGAAGGGGCAGTGCCACCCAAAAATGCATCGACTCTTCGATTCGTGAATTACATCCTTAGGAAAAGTGGGGACAGTGGGAATCAGGTGATTCATGGCACTCTGAAAATGCTGGGAGGGTGGGGGAGGAGTAGGAAGTGCAGGGCTCTGATGCGCGAGAGCCGTGTGGGGATAGGGTGCAGATGGGGGAGGTCTGAGGGTCGCAGGTGGAACACTAGTAGGCTGCACACAGCGCACAGGGTGCTCAGCCTACAATAACAAAACGGGTGCTTTCACTGCTGGCCGGCCTTCTACCGCACAGGTTGCAAACGAAAAGAGGTGAATAATTTTCCAAACAATAGTGCTGCTGAGTAATGAAAACTCTTTACAAAGATCTGTGTGTTAAAAGCAAATATTATGGCTTTATAGAAGGGGCAGGAACGTTCCTTTACGTTTTAGCTACACACGTTAACAGCGGTACTCTCAGGTCACTGTGTGAAGCTGAGACTGACCTTAATATCTCTTGGTGTGGAGTGGGGGTGAGTTTAGAGATGTGTCCCCCGGTGCCTTAAGGAATATTTGGACGGGTGGGTAAGCAGGTGTCAGTACTGTTCCCCACTGTAGCACTCCAAGTGCAGATCTTATGAATACCTTGCCTCGATAGGCTTCTGCTTTAAAAAAAAAAAACTCCCCAAGGTCTCACATTCTCTGGCCTTGGGAGAGAGGGTGCCACCATCAAGTGAAAACCCCCTTCTTGGACCCAGGAAGGAAATCACTTGAACTTTTTCCAGAGGGTATCCCCAAGCTCTTTTACCACAAGAGAGCTTGAGGAAAAAAAGAAAACAACCTGCAATCTCTGATAGCTGACGTCTCTGTCTCAGGCATGCACACGCAGACCTCCTATTACCTTCCAGGGCACAAGTATCAAATCATAGCCTTAAAAATGGTAATTTATTAACAAAACAAAAAGGTATACTTCGTAATGCATTCTTGGTTGCTAGGTGTTAAAGCAACTGGGAAAAGACTAGATTAAAACACAGAGAAATTGTATTTCTGGGATATGGCTTAAAATACAGTGTATGGAGGTGGGGCACATGGACTTGGCACAGAGAAGTTTAACCAAACAACAAAACAAAGAAAATAATCTGATCACGACTAAAGAGACGCATTCCTGTCTACTTGCAATCTGTGCTTCAAGGTCCAGTCCATTTTCATGTCCAGTATCCCTTATAGGCATGGTAGTTCTGCCTGGTTCGATTCATCTTGCTTCCCCAGCTTCTGGATTTTGAGAGAGCTTACATCTACGTAGCACTTATTTCTAACTAAATGGCTGTCCTGAAATGTCCTTTACTCCTCGTGGAATAAGGTTTACAGGGATGTTGGAATAGCGAGCCTGTTATGTTTCGAAAAAACGGACACACTCCAAAGACATGGAATAGCTATTTCGGGAGACCTCCGGTCTCCCGAAATAGCACAGCAGTGTAGACGTAGCCTGAGTGGCATGGGAAAGTGGTCTACCGTGGAAGAAGAAATTAGGTTGCCATCCCTAGAAATCTTGGCAAGCAGGATACTTCCACAAAAGTTTTCTTTTTTTCATTGAGATCTCTCAGGTGGATTCAGGGGATGTCTCTGTATGGAAACGGCTCCACATGGACCCCTTGCCAAACTCAAGAAGGGACTGACAAGCAGATAACGTTGTAACCTCTTGGTTGTACTGCTGTCTTTTGGGGGGGGGGGGTTGTGGAAAGGGAAGAACTCTGTCCTGTCCCCATGCTTCTACTCGTTGTTTGCGCCAACTCACCACCATGAGTGAGGTTCCCCATTAGGGATGTAAAATCGCATCTAATTGGTTAACAGGTTAAACATTATGTTTAATTGGTTTACTGATGTAAAGGGGAGGCCTCCCTCCCTTCCCCCCACCGTGGACAAGGGAGCAGCCCCTGCCTATGGTGGGGGGCCGGGACAGCCCTGCCTACTATGGGACCTCTGGGGCTAGAGCAGCCTCCTGCCCACAACAGACAGGGAGCTGTTCCAGTCCCAACTGGTTAACTGGAAGTGATAAGCCTCGGGTGACGCTTACCAATTAACCAGTTAACCATTCACATCCCTATTCCCCGTAGGTACCTGCAGTGGTGTGACTGCAAGTAGCTCTGCATAATAGCAGCATCTCTGCTACGTGGCACCCCATCAGCTGTTGCCATTGTTCCGTGGCTTTCCTGCCGCAGGTGTAAATACAGGCGCGAGTCGGTCAACACCCACAGCGTCTGTGACCCTCCCTTTGTGGCGTAGTGCGGGCCGGAATTGCCGCTGCTGAGGCCAAAGCACCTATGTACGCCCGTACGTAGCGGTGTGGGGCTGATGTGCTAAAGAACTGCGTGGGCCTTCTTGACGGGAGGGGATTCTTTCATCTGAGTCCAGGACGCTTTTGTCAGGACTGCCTTGAATTGTGCAGATCTCCACCCTCCTGCTCCTAACCAGCCGCCTCTGTCTGGAAGAGCAGCCTGTGTTCTTAGAACTGTGTGAATGTCCGTTTCTCTTTCTCCTCTTTTAGGTTTGTTTTTTGTTTTGTAAAGATAAACGAACATGCAAATGAGGTGTGAATGACTGGCAGGCTGTTGCTGCAGCGGTCAGTGCTGCTGTGATGGTGCAGCCCAGGCAAAGGGCAGTATGGATGATCAATGGAATGAAGAGATTTATAGGGGTAGAATGCCCAAACTGGACTGATAGTCTTGAGCGAAGATTTAAAGAGGGACTGAAGTCTTTGCACCTAGCTAAGGGGGATAAACCTAAGCTTGCTGTACCTAAGGAGGTAGGGGCTGAAAGTGAATGCTTTGGTAGCAGTTTTCATGGGGGAGTTCTGCACAGGGCCGAATTTCATCCCCCTCTCCCTGTAGAATTGGTACTGCAAAGATGCTCTCTGCCACTAGGGACCATTAGGCCCAGCAGTCCATTTGGCAAATGCAAGACCCAGTAGAGGCAGAGGCAGGACTGGAGAGTTCGGGGAGCTGTGGTTCCCAGTGTATCCTGAGGAGAGACGGCCTTGTGCAGGGTTCTCCATACAAGCCCAGGACGGGGCTGTTTCTCTTTTTTTCCTCTGGCTACCAGGGCTGTGAGTGTCGGGTGTGGCAGTGCCCTGCAGCTGGACTTGGAGTGGGGAGCTAGGGGTTGGGCAGACAGGATCTAGAGGGTGGGTTCTGGGGAGGGTGGGGGCTGTATGAAATGAAATTAGGCTGGTCTTCACTAGCGATGTAAACTCGGGTTTAATTGGTTAACTGGTTAACCAATGAAGGGGGACCACTCGACTGATTTTTTTCCCCCCCCCACTCCCCACTGCGGCTTGGCTGGAGCTGCAGACCAGGGCTGCTCTGGGCCTGCGACACACCTGTGCCCACTGCGGACAGTATCGGATACGTCACTGTCCGCCACACACAGAGCAG